CCACGGTTATGGCTTGATGGAGTCCCTCCAACGCTCGATCGATGTCCTCCACGGTGTCAAGCGGCGGGTTGTCGATGATGTGCCTGTCTACCACGCGTCCAAACTGGGCCCAGTTAACGCGATGGTAGTCCTTGCGCAGACTTGAAGCAGGAGCCACGTTGCAGCCCAGTTCAGCCACCACCGGTTGGTGGTCGGAGCTGAGTTCGTTCAAGGCTACCGGCTTGGACAAGCCGATATTTGTCATGAACAGGTCTAGCGTCGATGGGTTGCCTGCCGGTGAGATGAATGTTGGTTCATCCGAAAACCAAACGGAGTACAGCCCATGCTGTGAGTGGTCGAACAGGAGACGACCGTTCTGGTTCTGCTGGTAGTTCCGCCAGGCCTCATGGCGAGCATTCAGATCTCCTCCAACGACGAAGCGGGAACCGTTACGGGTGATGGTGGACAGGTCCTTCTTGAATTTAGCCGCTAGTCCACTGCTGGCGGCACACTGTCGAGGGCAGTAGACGGCGATGAACTGGACGTATCCAGTCGACGACTCCACCTCCACACCAAGGGCCTCGATGATAGAGGTGCGGATATGGGACAGAGTGTGGTATTTTATTCCTTTCTTGACGACGACCGCAACACCACCCCCCCTGGAGCTGGTGCGATCAAGCCGGATAATGTTGTGGTCAGGCAACCAGAAGCTGTCGCCGGACTTTAGATGGGTCTCGGTTAGAAGGCCCACGTCGATGCTGTGCTTGCGGAGGAAGTCGGCAAGCTCAATCTTTTTTGCTCTTACAGAGCAAGCATTCCAGGTGACGATAGTTAGCGGTTTAGACGCCATACTGGATGATGAACTTACCGAGCACTTGGATCTGTTCGGGCTTATTGCGGCACTTACGAAGAGCACCGGACATGTTGACGAAAATTTCCATCAGTTCATCCGCTGAGAACAGATCGGGGTTGTTGTTTTGTCCTGTTGGTTGTCTCCAGAATCCAGGGGGGGATGGAGAGCTTTGGCCAGCAGAATCACCGGAAGCTTCTTGAGAAGGGGCGGGTTGCACCCGCGAATTCGCTTGCCTTTGCTGGGGAGCACGAAGAGGCGGAAAATCCTCCGTCCTGAATGATGGGGTTTTGTCCTTCTTGCGTCCTGGTTGATTGTTGCTTGACGCCAGCTTTCGGATGCGTTTGAAGTCCTCGCGTTTGGAGCACTGTCTGTCAGAGCCTTGATGTGCACCACCACAGTTAGCGCATTTTATCGCCACGGCTCCATCCGCAGGGCAGTTGGAAGTGGCGTGTTCTTGAGCGCAGTTGCTGCAGCGTGGCTTGATGTTGCAGTTGCGGGTACCGTGTCCAAAATTGAGGCACCTCTGACACTGCGTTACGTCACGATGACCGCCACGGTATGGCTCCCACCGTACGATGATGGAGTAGATCGATCGGATGGCTTGTAGCGCATTGAGCGTCACCGTCCCTTTCTGGAAGTGCACCAGGAAAAGACAATCCGGGTACGTCTTCACGTTTTCATCTCTCCTTGTCATTCGGAAGACAGCGATTGGGGCTAGCTTGTATCGGTTGATTTCGGCTTCGACCATCTTGGGGTCGAAGTTTGGTAGACCCCTGATGACTACCTTGAAGGGCTTCTCACCGGGGATGTCGTGCGTGAAGAATTCCGCCTTGGTATCCTTCAGATATTTCACGGCCACTTCGTACTCCGCTTTGGTTCGGAGCATCACCTTGGTGCCGATCCTGCCGAGCTTAAACTCAGCTGCAACGCCCAGCGATGAAAGATCGCCAATCAGCGTGTTGAGTGGGACTTGCTTCACCACCAGTGGAGGAAGCTTCATTTTTGCTGCACTCGGGCTGGCAGCAGTTTCGTTGTCGACGGCGTCGCCGAAATCACCAATGACGCTGACGTTCGTCGCGGTGGCATCGTCCCGTCCACTCGCACCATCGGACTGGCCTTGATTTTTCTTCCTCTTCTTAGACCGCTTCACCGTGGCTGAGGTGGGATTCCCTACATCGGTGGGAAGAGTAGCGTACCTATTCGAAATAGGTACACTCAAGCTACCCTCACCGCTGTTCTTCGTCTCCGTTTTCTCTCGGAGCCTGCTCCGGGAGCGCTGTCTTCCCATCACACGAAGCGACCGACACTACTGACGACGCGATTAAACTGCGAATGTTTGGAACAAACTAGAAACTTTTGAACAACTCGACAGAGCGAGCAAAGACCGAACTGTACTGCTTGACGTTCAAGCAGAGAATGATATGTGCTGATACCAGACAGCGGCGCTGCTTTATATCTTTTTAGGTTAAAGCAGAATGATGTGCAACCAAGTGGTATAAAAGCTACAAAGACTCCTCCCATTATGAGTAGCTTACTATCAAGTAGCGACACTGGCTATTTTCTTTTTGCGTACACGGCGAATGAGAACGCCCCAAATTTGAGTTTAGTTCACTCATAATCGCCAAAACTGTAGGAACTCAGCGATGAGTAAATTTGTCTCATGATTTCCTGTGGAAAACCTAAAAAATCTGCCAGAAAATAAGGAAATTGACGAAAATTTTATTCAGTCTCGGAGTAGTACCAATAGACTGAGTGAATCCAATCTTTACTTTTCTCAAATTCGGGAATTTTTCCCTGGAAAATCCTGGAAAAACCTGGGAAAACATGAGGAATATTTACTCATCGCTGAGTTCCTGCACTTATTTCTGAGATAACTAAACTCAAATTTGGGTCGTTCTCATTCGCCGTGATAGATATCTGCGCCGGTGGTTAGCGTAATTACCTCTCACCCCAGCAGACCTGGGTCCAATCTCAGTCGGTGCCATCGGCATGTTCTAAGGTATAACATCTCTGGGAGCTGCCTCCCTGGCGTCGGTAGCATTGGAGCTCAGTACGGAAAACAAATCTCGCGTCACTTTTCAATAGGTCCTATCTACATTGATCGATTCTCTTCATCGACACTCTCTTTCGTAAATAACTCGGCTTCACAAATCTGGATCAACAATAGAAAAGAGCCCATCAGCATTTGTAAACAAACCGTTCCAAAGCCCTTTACTCACAAAGCGAAGGCTACCCACACAAACCAACACCATCATCGGATAGGGGAAACTTCTACCTACAAGATGTTGGTGTTTGTTTGTGTGAGCGGCCTTGTTGATCCAGAAATGTTTCCTGCCGTCTTCGTCGAATTAGATGCTAGATTGTTGCTTCTTCCATCGAAAATATCCAGCCGTGGCGATTCAAAGTTGATCAAAGTTGATCAAAACAATTTGTATCCCTGCTTCCAGTTTGATCACATGAGCATTTTGTGTGGTCGGTGGTTCTGAATATGGACAAACAGCCAGATGAATTCTATTCCTAATCTTTACTGTAATAAGCTTGGTGGCCCTGAAAAGAGCCGTTTTGTTTCCAATGTTGGTGATGATTTAAGGTGTATTCAGATCTAAGCGTACATTAGCGGAGCGGAGCAAAATTTGCGTTGGAATGAGAGAGACAACTAGTACTTTTCTCCCTCTCGTACCTTCGCAAAATCTCTCTCCGCGCGTGAAATATCGCTCAGATCTGAATACACCTTTAACCTCTGAAACCAAACAGAGTGCGTCTCTGTCACTTCAAAAACGTAGACGACATCCATGGCCGCTTACGCTTGGCGTGTTTAGTGTAGGTGACAGCATCACAGATCTCATTTTTCAGGAACACCTTCAGCACACCTCGTAAATCAAGCCGGAGATACGTCAGACACCCAGACGATGGTTATCTCGAAGAATTTGCGTTTGGTTCTGAACATGGCGATGAGTGTGTAAAATATTACGCAATTCCATCCTTCCTATTCGCACGCGCCCGAGGATCGGAGGCGAATGCCACTTCGACTTGTTTTGTCTACTTACTACTCTCTGACGACTGTGCTGGGGAAGCAGCATATGCATGTAGGTAATTGGTGGATTTGTTAGTTAATTCGACGCTTTTGGACAATGCTAAACATTTACCAGTTTTTCAATAGTTTCTTGTTGAAAATCAACATTCGGAAGCATTTTTATCAATGCGTAGCCATATTTCTGATCGATTGGTGATAAAATTATTGAAATTGGACCAGGGGTAGCTGAGTTATTAACGTTCAAAATCTTTCTTAATTTGTTACATGTTCCATTTTCGGTTTTCACAAAGTGTACCCCCATATAGAAATCAAAGACGTAGTCCTACGTCAAAACATACTTTAGAAAAACAACCACACTAAACTCGTGATGTTAGACTTCAACGGTCGTCAGTAATAGCCGCCTAGGATCTGGATCTCCTTGTAAATGCAGCTTTCATTGCGCAAAACCAGATCCGAATCGACCACGTTGATCCACGATCAACAACAACAATAACACCATTAACCACCACGGCAGCAATAACAAAACAGAGAAACTCTATAAGAGTCATTAAATTAATGCCCAACGGTGAGCCTGACCCGGCTGGCTATGGAGGACCACAAACGCCACAGGAGAGATACGGGGAGATGATGGCCCAACCCACACACCATCGGACGACAATCATGATGGCGGCGATGAATGTCAAAATATCAATCAAAAAAAAACTGGTAACAGAGAGACTCGGATCGGAGGACCGAGGAGGGCGCGCACTTTACATGAGAAAGCCTTCATCGGTGAGCTGCGGTCGTAGATTGTGCATTGGGTTTGTAGCGCAACCCCAATGCGATGACGGATGGTTATGGCGATGGGGCCCCCGTTTGGGTGGGTTCGTGAGGAACTCATCATAATCTCATCGACGACGACGACGACGACGACGACGACGGTTATAGCATGAGCCACAGCCGTGGCGGTTCAGAAAGTATTATATGCTTCTTCCGAGCATTATTTGGGAAGTCTCGCCATCGTCGGTGAAGGTTTACCACAGCTGATTTCCGATGGTGTCGACAACATTGTAAAACACTCTGCGGTTTGCGAGCTTGGGCAAAGAAAATTACCCTTTCGATATGGTTTCACTGCCGTCAATTGCTACTGCTTACCTTCCTTGTCGTTGGGAATCGGGCCCATCTGCAAATGGAGAAAACAAAAATGTTCGTTACTTTCGTTCGTGGAAATGACCAACTTCATGTAATAAATGCATACACAGTGACACAGTATTGTTGTTCAAATTGAATCTCCCTGAGCTCATACTTTGGCCGGAGTTGATCGTACAAATTGACACCCTTCGCCTGGATGTCGTCAAGATCAACACCGATCATCCGATCCGCGGACTACGCGAGAGTTTCTTAGTACCGATCACGGAGATCACCCCGGACCCCTTTTAGCGGTGCCAATTGGTTCTGTTTGATCTTACATCAGGCAACACCTATTTCGCTGGGTGTCGACAATTGGATCTGAGCTGGCGTCTGTTGCCTAATTTCCAACAACAACCTCCATTCAAAACAGCAAAAATGGCAACAGCAGCAGCCCCTTAAACAAAAACTTGTTTTGCGAAAAAAAAAACAACTTTCCGGTTTGGCAATTTCTCTTTTTTGTGGGCTGCTGCTGTCGGCACCGTCGTCTGTCTGTTTGCCGTGAGCGGATGGATGGATTTGGATACCCTCGGACACTCGAAATGAACTCGCAAGTTTTTCGCTTGCGACACACAAATTACGTCTTACTGTTTGCACGAACCACCCTAGGTGCAACCCAAACACCACCAGTTTATAGAGGGGATGGGTGAATTTTAATTAGCATTTAATTGGCTAAAAACGACGAGCTAAAAATGTGCCTACTTTTGCCCGGCGTCCGCCCAACTACGATGGAATGAAAGTAGTTTTACTTAGCTGACCTCTACGGCGGTTGGAGCGTTGGGGGAATTGACCTGGTGCTGAGGCAGAGGTCACCCAAGGGACATGGTTCGAGAAGGTTGGTACATAGGAACGCTTTTCCTTCGGAAGACATAAATAGGATGGGGATCGGAGAAAAATGGTATGATTGATGTGGGTTGGGTTTACAATGTATTTCTACTTTTGGGTTTATGGCCTGAAGTTCCATTGGATTTGAAAGGAAACTTCCGATGGATACATCGCTATCTTGGCGATGGATTCCTTTATGGAATTGGGAGGGTCATATTTGGGACGATAAAAATGATTAATTCTATGAGTATTGGACTTTCATCCAATCATGGTATGCTACTTTGTGTGAGGAACACATTTCCCATCTGTGGGGGAAAGTGCCACCTGAGCAAATGTGTTGATAAAAGGTATTTCTAAGGGCTTGTTCTAAAGATTTTTCATACTGTTCAAACGTAGGTTCCTAGAAGCAACATTTTCTAGTTCTTACCTAATATCTTTTTTTGAACTCTTTATTTGTTCCAAATTCAAAATAAATTACATTTCATTTTAACTTAGGTGCTCCAGTTACTACAGTAACTTACCAGCCTTAATTGTTATGATATATATCTATATGTTTTTACATTGTTCCTGCCTTGACAATTCAGTACTTTAAACAGGTTTTTTGTAAACCTGCATGTCAGTATAACACTAAACTAGACTAAAAACTAAAACTAAATCTTATCTAAGTTTAAAGAGAATTAATCGTTGGAATTGAGGATTGCAACGATTTTTGCCTGAAATAATTAATTATTTTGTTGGACATTTGTTCTAAAGTCTCAACATTCGAAATTCTATGTACCTCGGTAGTACTGTACCACGGAGGCAACTTCAAAATCATTTTCAGAACTTTGTTCTTAATCCTTTGAAGTGCTTTTTTCCTGGTAGTGCAGCAACTAGACCATATTGGCACAGCGTAAAGCATGGCCGGTCTAAAAACTTGTTTAAATATTAGAAGTTTATTCGTCAGGCAAAGTTTGGATTTCCTGTTTATAAGAGGATACAAACATTTTATATATTTGTTACATTTGGCTTGAATGCCCTCAATGTGATCTTTAAAAGTTAATTTTTGGTCAAGTATTAATCCAAGATATTTCACTTGGTTTGACCAGGAAATTGGAACTCCGTTCATAGTGACTATGTGACTACTACTAGGTTTCAAAAACGAAGCTCTAGGCTTATGTGGAAATATTATAAGTTGAGTTGTGGAAGCGTTGGGAGAAATCTTCCATTTTTGCAAATAAGAAGAGAAAATATCTAAACTTTTCTGCAGTCTGCTGCAAATAACACGAAGACTTCTTCCTTTAGCGGAAATGCCTGTGTCATCAGCGAACAAAGATTTGTGGCAACCCTGAGGCAAATCAGGGAGGTCCGAAGTGAAAATGTTATACAATATAGGCCCAAGAATGCTACCCTGAGGAACTCCTGCACTAACAGGTAATCGATTGGATTTGGAATTTTGGTAATTTACCTGCAGAGTTCTGTCAGTTAAATAATTCTGAACTAATTTCATAATGTAAAGTGGAAAATTAAACTTTTTCAATTTAGCGATCAAACCTTCATGCCAAACACTGTCGAATGCTTTTTCTATGTCTAGAAGAGCAACTCCAGTTGAGTGGCCTTCAGATTTGTTTGAACGAATTAAATTGGTAACTCTTAAGAGTTGATGAGTAGTTGAATGCCCATGGCGAAATCCAAACTGCTCATCTGCAAAAATTGAGTTCGTATTGATGTGAAGCATCATTCTACTCATAATTATCTTTTCAAAAAGTTTACTTATTGAAGAAAGCAAACTTATTGGGCGGTAGCTAGAAGCTTCAGCTGGATTTTTATCCGGCTTCAAAATTGGAACAACTTTTGCATTTTTCCATTTATCAGGAAAGTATGCCAAATGGAAACATCTGTTAAATAGTTTTACCAAAAAAGACAAGATACTCTCTGGGAGATTTTTGATTAGAATATAGAAAATTCCATCAGCACCTGGAGCTTTCATATTATGAAACTTTTTAATAATAGATCTTACTTCGTCCAAATCAGTCCCCCAGGAATCATCAACAATATTTTCCCAAGAGAAAATATTCAGATAATCCCGAGCAACCTGATTCTCAATAGGACTAGTAAGACCCAAACTGAAATTATGGGAGCTCTCGAATTGCTTAGCAAGTTTCTGAGCTTTTTTCCAAATTTGTGATCAAAATGTTACCTCCTTCTTTAAGCACTGGAATAGGTTTTTGAGGTTTTTTCCCAAATTTTTTGTGAGTTTCCGAAAGGGTTTGGAACTCGGGTCTAATTTAGAAACATTATTTTCAAAAGTTTTATTCCTCAGGGCAGAGAATCGCTTTTTAATTTGTTTTTGCAAATCCCGCCAGATAACTTTCATGGCAGGATCGCATGCTCTTTGATATTGTCTCCTACGGACATTTTTAAGACGGATCAAGAGCTGCAGATCGTCGTCTATTATAATTGAATCGAATTTAACCTCGCATTTTGGTACTGAGGCAGCTCTTGCTTCAACAATAGAAGTAGTCAGAGATTCAAGAGCATAATTAATTTCATCTTTGGTTTGCAAAGGAATGTTTGGATCGAAGTTATATTCCATAAATGTTCGATATTGCTCCCAATCAGCTGTATGGTAATTGAAAGTAGAGCTGTTGGGATTACACATTATTTCTTGGGATATTTCAAAAGTTAGTGGAAGGTGATCAGAACCGAAGTCAGCATGGGTAACCAATTGGCTACAAAGTTGACATGAATCAGTTAAGACCAAATCAATAGTGGAGGGATTTCTTGCTGAAGAAAAGCATGTTGGGCTGTTTGGATATTGAATAGTGTAATAACCTGCAGAACAATCATCAAACAGAATATTACCATTGGAATTGCTTTGAGCATTATTCCATGAGCGGTGTTTTGCATTAAAATCACCAATAATGAAGAATTTAGACCTATGACGGGTAAGTTTCTGAAGGTCACCCTTGAGAAAATTCTTTTGCTAGCCAACGCATTGGAATGGCAAATAGGCAGCTATAAACGTAAGTTGTCCAAATTTTGTTTCAACAGAAACTCCCAAAGTTTCAAAAACTTTGGTTTCAAATGAAGAAAGAATTTTATGTTTGATTCGTCTATGAACAATGATGGCAACGCCACCACAGGGTCCATCAAGACGATCATTTCTATAAATGAAATAATTTGCGTCCTTCTCAACCTTATGGTCAGGTTTAAGGAACGTTTCAGTTATAACGGCAATATGCACGTTATGAACTCTCAAAAAGTTAAATAGCTCGTCTTCATTATCTTTAAGAGATCGAGCATTCAAATTTAAAATATTTAAAGCTTTAAAATCCATTACTGAATTTTAAAGTCATGACAATATTATTAGCAAATTTTACTCCAGTTTGAATAGCATCAAACATGGAGGTAGATTTAAGCATATCAGAAATCATTTCAATTAATGATTTCTGTAAAAGTTCCATTTTAGGGGCAGTAATGCTTCCTAAGTCAAAATTGTCAAAATTTTGATTTCTACCCGTTGCAATAGCAGCATAGGTAGCTCCATTAACTCGCTGAACATTGTTAGAAGCGAGGGGAGTAGGTACAGATGAAAAATTTGAAGCAGGGGTGATATTTGTACCTACGGGTCTTTGGAGGCGAACCAGCCCAAGGCTGAAAGCCTCCTTAATAAAGCTAAATAATAATAATAATACCTACGGGTACGAATGTAGAATTTGTTCCTCGCTGACCGTTGTTAACAGCAGAGGAATTTGTACCTGTTCGGAAACGTGGAGCGTTTCCTACCTGTCACTTAGAACGAGATTGTAGGATCGCTTTGCGAGTCTTACATTCCCAAAAATTGGATTTGTGGTTTTCACCACAATTTGAACATTTAAATTTCTTAGGATCTTCTTTCACAGGACAGTCGTCCTTTGCGTGAGAGGAATCACCACAATTCATGCATTTAGCTGGCATGTAGCAATTTTGAGTTCCGTAGTCCCATCCCTGGCACTTACGGCACTGTGTGAGGTTTTGGAAATTTCCTCCAGTCTTCCTGAAGTGTTCCCACTTCACTCGGACATGGAGCATAAGGCAAGCTTTTTCTAAGGCCTTAAGGTTGTTTAGTTCACTAGACTTGAAGTGAACTAAATAAAAACCATTAGAAATCCCGTTGCGCGAATCGCCAGGACGGGATTTCATTTTCAT